TAGGTAATTTTACAATCGTGGTAGGTGGGGCAACTAATTGCCGACAAACACTACCAAGGAAGCTTCGTCTGCTGTATAGTGCGATTATCTCATATCGATACTGCAAATAAATCGCAAGTTATCAAACTGAAAAATAGCAATATGATTACATACAGTTACCTTGAGATTGAGGTAACAGCATAGCTTGTAAAAGCTTCTAACGAGAAAAGCGCATTCGTTCGTTCGCACTGGTTGCAATTCTGGATCGCCCATATATTCGATATATCGACACGTCTGTCTACCCTCTTGCAACGGTACGAAAGTACCCGGTCTACTCGAATCAAAGCTAGATTCCATCTAAAATCCACGTCTTTTAATCGATCGAAGAATTTTAATAGAAATTTATTTCAATAATCCATACTTGCGATTGATGACAGAAAGAAGTCGACAGAATACTATCGTGATACTCTTGATCCGCTACTATAGCAACTTGTGGAATGTCTTCGAGTTGTATCTGCAACAATCATGATTGTATATGCTATTCAAAAATAGTAATACATAATTAATTATCGACATACAAAAATTCAATTACTTGAAATATATCTATTAGTTGCTGTTGAGCAGTGGCCAACAGTACAGGAACGCGTCGCCGCTCCTCTATGCTGATGTCGTCCGAAGAGTATTCCTCGCAACTAAAGAATTCCCATAGAGAAAGCAGGAAGCGCTTTCCTCTTCTTCTGTCTTCCAGAGCTTCTACCAAGCTGGTCGCTGTTAAATGCGCTTGTTTAATGTTACTCAAAAACCATACGACCTGAAATGGAATATAATCACCTATTAATAAAGCTAGCTTGACATACATTTAGAAATCTTCAGAAAGTAAAAAATACCTGCAGGTTGATGGCTGTCGAAAACATGGGAACGTATTGATATGTTGGACCTTCCAATTCAAGAATCTGTTGTCTAATAATCGATGTCCATTGATTCGTAGTTATTCGACTTTTGCTAAGACCTGCATCATCCACACAATTCTCTACTTCACATATCATTTTTGCTAAGTATGGTTGTGAAAATACCTATATAAACATAGACAAGAAATACATTTTTTAATACAAAATAATATATTTATTTAGCTAATGAAATTCGCGTACTTTTGTAACTCTAAATAACATTAAAGCATTCTTAGGCGCTACTAGGTCAGTTCTCATAAATCGTGGAAGCAACTGCTGAAACACAACCGTGTATGCTAACAAATTATTAACAACGAAAGAGATCCATCTGCCGGGATCATGAATCTTCCCTCTTTCTTCTTCCTCTGCTTTACTAAAAATAATAAAGAGAAAATATTAACAAGAACTACGACAACATTTTGGCAACATTATCAGTGGTATATGTTATGTACCCTTCTTTGGTATATGTTACTCCTGGTACATATCTCCATGGTTGAATAAAACTTAACCAAGCCTCCAGTATCAACCTAAACGAGCTATCTAGAGGCCAATGATATATTGCTTTCCTCAAAAACGTATATATTTTTCCTTGAACCGAGGGAAGAATTATTCTGCGAAATATAAATAAAACAAAATGTTGAGTGTAACTGTAATGTGTTATAGAATTTGTAAAATATATCTCACTACCTCTTCAATTCATCCATTGCGCTCTTGTCGCCCGTAGCGCTATTCGTAAACTCATGCAACGTTTTTATGAACGCTCTTACAAGACGTATGTGTTCTCCAGAATGTATACTATGCTGAAATTAGAAATTACAATCAAATACATTTGAAGAGACGCAAATTATTTTTATTCCGCAAAATTATTCATATTTTTCCATGTATAAGGCTTCATTTATTACACAAAAAACTTACTCGTCGCGGTATCGAAGACAAGTAGGATGTACTCAATTGCGCGTCCTCCGTATATTCCAACCAAAAATCGAGAAAAACTTGTACTACAGTCTCGCTTCTCCAGACTTGCGGTAAGCACTGCTGTTGTTGCGGTACGCCTGTTCCAGGACTCGTTGATCCCGAGGATAATATAGATGCTCTTAAAAGTCTCAGAGTTTGCAATTTTTGACAATCTCTGATTGAAATTTAAAATATATAAATAAAGCATACTTATTATACTCGAATATGTATGTCTTATCTCTCTAGAAGCATAAAGTGTCTCCGCACCTTCGGAATTCTGGTGACTGAGTTAATTTTCTTGGCGGTGTCTTCTTTACATATGGCCCAATCACCGGTAGAACCGGAGAATTATCTCTCGGAAGAAAATGGTACAGATAACAGTGCGCTAATTGAACATAAACCGTTTCCCAATTCATCCATACATTTTCTTGCTGTTGAAGTTGTAACCAAGGATTGGTCAAATGATATGCAAAATGAAAGATATAGTACTCAAAAGGATATGTAGTTATGTTAAGAAAAATTTCGTGTTTGTAAATCATAATGCAGCAATAACCATATATATTAACTATATAACATTTAATAAAGGATACTCATAGATAAAGCTGAAGGGACACGTGTCCCTTGATCATCTCTAATTTTATCCAGATAAAATGGTGATATTATGGCTTCCTCCAACATGGAGCGTATTTTCGACTAGAATGAGAAACATTACGATATGTTACAATAGTCTAAAAAAAAATTATTTACATGTACTATAAATAAAATTTTTAAACGTACCGGAAGATATGACACTGGAAAATTATACTTGAGATAACAGTCTGGAAGCAGTTTATAACACAAAGAAAACATTGATCCTTGTGGACTAAGAAAGTGACACAGTGCCGAATATTCATGTGGATTTTTCTTAAGGGTAATATTGTGTAAACCCCATCCAATATTGTCTACTATTCCAAATAAGGAGTCTACCAGCAAAGGAAAGACTAGTTGCAGTTCAGTGGTGCTTGACTCATCTATCAAAATAGACAAATCTCTGCATCTTTCTACCAAGGGTTCATTTAAATATCTCTGAGCTCTGATCTAAAAATTAATGGACAACGCGATAAAAATTTAACCAAAAGTATGAAATATATGTCAAAATATAAGTATAAATATGTTATAACTATAACTAAGAATGTAAAAATACCCATTTTTTTTCATTATAAAAAAATGTATTTTTAAAATTTTTGTCAATTTTTCACAAACATATAATAATTATTGTAAGTACTTGTTTGTTAATCAATATGCGCTTAAGATTACGTTCGATGATGAGTAATATTCGTATTTAAATCTTGGTGTTACTCCACATTTCGAGTTTACATACTTTCATTGTTAGGTATTGTTTAATGTTTGTTTTTTACAATGTATCAATCAATAATACGTACTGTAGCAACATCGGTGGACGAAGCCATTGTTCACAATTTTCGAGTTTAGATAAATTATAAAATTAAAAAATAGCAATTAAATAATATCATTTGTATGAAATGTCTTTCTCAAAAACTCACACCGGTCAATCACGCTAACCTATGAATTCTGTAATACATATTTATCTGGTAGACACTGGAATATCTGGATAGGAGTCTACAGTAGCGCTACTAAAAAATGCGAGAACTTACTTGTGAAAACAATTGCGCGATCGGTAGAATCGTGAGAGTGTCGTACAATTATAAAAAGATTTGCTTTATGCAACTTTTTTATTTATATTTCTCGTCTTTCTTAAAGTTCAATATATAATTTATGTATTATATACTATAATAAATTAAATACATTTATAATTTTAAAAAATTACATAAGTTATATATACATATATTGTATAATTTAAAATAAAAGAAATAAAAATATATATAGATATTACAAATTTAATATATA